TCAGAGACCAGATATTTGGACTATGTGTCAAATTTTAGGGAAAGATTAAATAGAGCAGGTGAATTAGCTAGACAATACATGAAAGTAGCACAGCATTTGATGAAACAGGAGGCAACAAGAAATCAAAAATTTGCAATTTTGCTAATGGAGATAAAGTGTTAGTGTTACTTCTAGTGGTAGGTGAAGCTTCAAAGGCAAGGTTTAGTGGGCCTTATCAAATCAAAAGGAAACTGAGTGACATGAACTACTTAATAAGAATGACAGTTAGAAAGAAATCTCACAGAGTGTACCATGTGAATGTGCTCAAAAGCTTATTTTGATAGGGAAGGAAAGCAAAAGGAGAAAGTGTTACTGGTTACAACACAGTGTGAAGAACCAAGTTCAGATGCTTCTAAATTGGACATTCCTCAAATTAAATTGGACAATAAGGTACTTCTCGAAAATTGAGATGACTAAATTACTGAGTTACCTACTAGAGGAAAATTGAAATCACCTGAAAAGAGTTATTACAATCACATGGGGAGCTATGTGGGCATAAGCTGGGAAGTACTAATCTAATTACTCATGATGTAGATATAGAAAATGCTTTTCCAATTAAGCAAAATCCTTACAGACTTAACCCTTTAAAGTTGGCACAGGTTCAAAAAGAGATTGAGTGCATGCTCAAAAACAATATAATTGAAGTGAGTTGCAGCGACTGGAGCTCACCCATAGTAATGGTGCCAAAAGCAGATGGTTTTGTGTGAATTATGTGTGGACCATCACAAAGTCAATGCAGTTACAAAATCTAATTCATATCATACTCTATGTATGCAAGACTGTGTTGAGAAGGTGGGACAAGCAACTTATATTTCAAAGTTGGACCTATTCAGAGGATACTGGCAAGTACATTTATCTGAAAGAGTGAAGGAAATTTTGGCTTTCGTGGCGCAGAATAGACTGTACCAATTTAAAGTCATGCCATTTGGTAAGAAAAATGTGCCAGCCACATTTTAAAGGCAAACCAGTGAAGTCATTTTGAATTACCCAACTTTGTGTCATACATCAATGATCTTCCATAACGCATAGAAGGAACATTTGGAGCATGTATCAGAATTGTGCAATCAACTTCAGGAAGCGGGCTTGGTAATAAACTTAGCTAAAAGTGAGTTTGCAAAAAGCCCAAGTCACTTTCCTGGGCCATCTTATCGAACAAGGACAGATCGCTCCGAGGGATGTGCAAGCAAAAGTTATTGGGGAGTTTCCCATACCATTGATGAAGAGGGAAGTACTAAGACTCCTGGGACTGAATGGTTTTTATCAGAAGTTCATACTGAATTTTAACAGTGTGGTTGCTCAATGACAGACTTTTGAAGAAGTGCAGAAAATTTCAGTGGAGAGACGAACCACTGCCTCAGTGATAGCCACATCTAATTGCACATAGCCATTCAAGATGGCTATTAATGTAGGTGATGTGGGTGTCAGTGCTGTACTCTTGCAAGAAGATGACGAGAAGATAGAAAAACCTGTTGGGTACTTTTCCAGAGAATTGAATAAAGTTCAACATAAATATTCTGCGATTGAGAAAGAAACCTTGAGCTTGGTATTGGTACTGTAACATTTCAACATCTGTATTGCCAATAAGGTTTCTGAGACTATTGCATATCTAAGGTTTTGGAGTAGATTTGTAGCTCGGGTTGTGGGTGTTGATGTTGGTTGGCTCGCCGAGCTGGTTTGTTGTTCCGCAGACGTTTCGTTACCATGCTTGGTAACATCCTCATTGCAGCCTCTGATGAAGCGTCGGTGTGTTTTCCCACCAAGCTTTTAAACTCTGGGGTCCGTTGCGATGGATTGCCTCACTTCCGGGTTTCCTCCGTAGTGGAATGTATATGGGGTCGAGTTCAATGTGTTTATTAATAGCCTGCTTTGTGGAGTGCCATGCTTCCAGGAATTCTCGTGCTTGTCTCTGCCTAGCCTGTCCCAGGATCTTGGTGTTGTCCCAGTCGAAGTCATGGTTCTTCTTGTCCATGTGGATTGAGATGAGTGAGTATTGGTCGTGTCTTTTTGTAGCCAGTTGGTGTTCATGTACTTTTGTTAGTTTCCTTCCTGTTTGTCCGATGTAGTGTTTCTCGCAGTCTCTGCAGGGGATCTTGTAGATGACATTGGTCCTGTCCATGGCGGGGAGTGGGTCTTTAGTTCAGGTGAGCACTTGTCATAGGGTTGATGTGGGTGTGTGTGCCCCTCTGATGCCCAGTGGTTGTAGAAGTCTTGTGGTGAGTTCTGACGTGCTCCTGATGTAGGGTAGTGGCTACAAAAAGACACGACCAATACTCACTCATCTCAATCCACATGGACAAGGAGAACCACCACTTCGACTGGGACAACACCAAGATCATGGGACAGGCTAGGCAGAGACAAGCACGAGAATTCCTGGAAGCATGGCACTCCATGAAGCAGGCTATTAATAAACACATTGAACTCGACCCCATATACATTCCACTATGGAGGAAACCCGGAAGTGAGGCAATCCATCGCAATGGACCCCAGAGTTTAAAAGCCAGGTGGGAAAACACACACGCTTCATCAGAGGCTGCGCTGAGGATGTTACCAAGCATGGTAACGAAGCGTCTGCGGAACAACAAACCAGCTCGGCGAGCTAACCAACCTCAACACTATTGCATATACTGAGCATAATCCCTTAAAGTTTTTGGAGAAATTTAAGGATAAAAATTCCAGACTGTTTAAATGGAGCTTATTAATGTTGCCATTCAATTTGAAAATTTTACCTGTGGCAGGATAAGAGAACTGAATTGCCAATGTGTAGTTGCAACTTTGATGAAGGAAAACAAAGGCATTCGGTGGTGGGAAAAATGGTCCGAAATGGACTGTATTAGTGAATGTTGGCTTGCTTAGGGTCAATGTAATGTAAATGTATTGTAGTATACTAATAACATAAGACTAAAGGTTTTTAAAAATGAATCCATCTTTATATATTGATGTTTCATTTTTAAGGTGGGTGGTGTGACAATACTGTGGCTTTAAGAGGTGTAATTTGTCCTGATGTTTTTACGAAGAAAGGTTGAGCGAGAGATGCCAAGCAGTCTACTCAGAACCACTAGTGTAAACAGTTTGTGAGCCCTTGTGTTTTTTTAAAATTAAAGTTGGAACAATAGAAGCAGCCTGAATGGGTGGGGCAAGCTCCCACAGAACCGGGATTTTTAGTTCTGGTTTTCTGTAGCAGTTGCTGGTGTCTTGAAGCTGGGTTTGGAAGCTGCATAACATTTCTCCCTGCTACACTGTCACTCTCACTCTCTCACTCTCACTCTCTCACTCTGAGTGTCTGAGTCTCTCTCTCTCTGAGTCTTGATGTTGCTTTTCCTCCTTGACTAGAGAATTGCCTGTTAGGCAATCCATTTTACTGAACTTGCCTTTTGCTAAAGGTGTGCCTATTTGATGTTACTATAGAAGTTAAATAAAATACTATCCTTTTAAGTTTTCCAATAGAGTTAAAGTTAGACCAAATCTTCTTTCTTTTGTAGTATTTTAACAATAGTATATGAATAAAGTGTTTTTTGCTTCAAGACTGGTAGTTTGACCAATCAAATTGCATCCGGCAAGCAATGCCTGGCACTTGCCTTTAATATAACAAAAAGTTAGTGTCTAGGCTATCTTCTTAATAGTTGAGGGGGTTTGTTCTGGTCCATAACAACAATTTACTATCCTGATCTGGAATAAAATAATGCAAATTCCTGCTGCTTTACTAGTTATAATCCACTTTGTGTCTACATTTTGTAGGAAGGCAGACCAAATTGTTCCCATGGACTCTAGTAGTCAAGAGCTATGTCAGAGAAACACAGTAAGAGGGTAACTACAAGAAAAATAACCTGTACTTTATTTTGACATTTATTGATGATGTCTATTTTAAGTGCATAATGTTTTCAACATTATGCACTTAAAATGTGCACCATTAATACATTTCAAAATAAAGTAGGAGATTTTAAGAGGTAATCAAAAGTGTTTAAGAATGTTTCAAGACAAGTCAAAGGTGGAAAGATGATGTGTTTTTGGGAGGCAATGCAAGTGCATGACCCATGTGACTGAACACTGCTCTGGAACTAGTAGAAACAGCAGAGAATGCACCAGAGTGAATGAAACAGATTTCACGTGTTGGGTTGGTGCCCTTAAGGAGTGATAAGGAAGCATGAGGCCTTAAAACAATTTAAACAAACATTTGCATTCCAAGATTGCTGCTGGGTGAAAAAGACTTGATGTGAGATAATATGCAGCCTGCCAAAATCTGTATAATGCCAGGAAAGGGTTTGACTGGATGAAGAACCAATTAGAGGGGAGTGACACAGTAAGGAGACAAAAATTGTGAAACAGTTTAAAAATGCTTGAAAGAGGAATAAGCAGACATTATTAAGACAGAAAGGGCAAGCAAAAAGGACACCCATCCTGCACTTACAGTTCTGCAGCCAGGTGACAGACCAAATTCCCTATTTGATAGCTAATAAAGCGAGAGTGGTGCTGGAAGATGTGGTTGTGAGAACAGTGATTTTCCTGGCTGCACCATAACAATTTTATGAGTTTAGTCCAGCAGCAAGCCCTGTGTGGTAAGTCAAATTTCTAGCATCAGCTGGCTGTTAGTTTCATTGGATCTGTATACAATCTTCATAATAGTCTTAACATTAAATGACACAATGTTTTGCCTGCACTTTGCTGATTCAGACCTTGGATTCACAGTTTCTTTTGGTCTTCGCCAATAAGATGTTCCTGGCTTCCAGAAATGTTTCATCATATTGAAACAGGTGCAGATAATCCAGATATACTAGCAGTTGAGCACTGTGACACACTTCTCTTTTTGTAGTATGATTGAAAGAAAGACCTACGGTGCTTGGGATTCTTCTGAGAGAACGTTCAATACCATCATTAGGCATTTGAGTGATTTCTCAGTATGTGTGTCCAGTCAGCAGATCAAAGCATGCGTGTAAGAATATGATCATATAAACAATGTAAGCCAATTAATTTTTAAATTACATTTTTTATTGCAAGGTTATTAAAATTAACAAACATTTAACATATAATCCGTTATTACTTAAACAAAATAATAATTATGACGTACTGAATTACATAAAAATGTACAGGATATGTGATACCTTTAGAATAGAACTTATGCATCTACAATATAACTGTAGGATCAGTTTAAATCAGTTTTTCTTTCACCCACACTGCAGTTATAGGGTGAATGCAAACTTAATCTAGAGCCAGGGCTTGGTTGAACACCAGCAATATAGTGGAATAAAACTTGCTGCAGAAAGATACGTTGCTCCTCTTCTGTTTGGCATCCATCTAGGCCTTAACACCCAATTTTGCAGAAATTTAATATCAACCTGAATCTTTAATGTCTATGCTCCAAAACTAAACTTGGACTGTGAATGTACCCTGAGTTCCAGCAGAATCACAGTTCATGAGGTAACAACTATTACAAATGCCCAATTACTTTATAGGTCCTAGTCATACATATGATGCAAGGCAATCTGTTAGGTTCTTTTTTTTTACACAATTATGAGGGTATCATGTAACCTAAAACAAAATGTTCTGAAACATTTCTATATTCCTGTCTATTAAATAAACTTGTCAATTATCATTTTTACATGCATGTGCAAGCATCAGAATTCATGAAAACAAGTGAGAAAGACCAGGGAGTTGAAACTCCTGGGCTGAGAGATGGAAAAGCTTGAGAAAATTGCCTGTGCTTTCAGTGGAACGCAATATCGCTGCTTTTGTAAACTGCAATTAAATACAGTGAAAGCTTGCACTTTCCCAGTACCTAGGTTCACTATTAGTTCAGGGGCTTCATTTGGAAGTGTTCCAAGGCTACCCTGGGAATTCTAAATATTCAAACATCTAAAAGCCAAACAAGAACCATGGCTATTCAGCATAGATATGGCAATCAATTCTGATTTTTGGGTGGCCAATTGGTGGAGCTTGCTGACCAGTTACCTATTAGAGTTGCAAAAATGGTGGTCATTCTTTTGAGGCTCCATCTCATTTACATCAAATCTGGGAGCTAAGGGGCATCAAATGGGTGATGATGCAGGTGAACTAGTTTTGGGCTAGGGCAGCTGGCAGCAAACAAAGTGTAGATTTGTCCATGGGCATGGTTCCAAAGGTAGCAGCAGGCCAGATTCATTGAAATCATTTTTGCTTCAACTGCTTCACTCATGGAACTTTCAGCGAGTGCACTGTTCCTTCATAAAAAGCAATCGAGGTCCTACAGGGATCACAGAACCTTGAAATGCTTAACAAAAGAAAACATCTGATGATAGGCTTCAATGGCAGTTTCAATGGACTAATCATTCGTGTTTCACAGGTAGTAACTCTCCTGGCCCCATTTTTGAGGCCATTACCTACCTTGTCAGAAAATGCAGCACTCGCTGAGAGAAAATACAAAAGAAGGTATTACCTGGACAGCAGTCTCAAGTAATGATTTTTGTTTCCTTCAAACAGCAAAGAATTGAAGAAAATAAGGAAAAGAGGTAAATTGGAAAAGATTGGACAGTCCCAACAAGATCGGACAATTCAATCTTTCCCACATTGCGATAAGCCATGCGTGTTTGCAATCCACAGCCACATTTGAACGTGCAAAAAATGACTCTGTGCACAAAAGAAATGGTCTTCGCTAACAAAGATAATAACCTTTCTCCTTAGTTACTGCTGACTTTGGGGAATTTAAATGCATTCCTACACATCATCATGAGTCAATGAAAAGCTCCAAAAGAGAAAGGCATAATATCTCTCTGAAAGCAAACTGCCTCATGACTACAGCCTGTTTGCTACCTGCAGTGATAATTTCTTTACCAACCTGCAGAGTACCACAGAGTACCACTCTACTTCTCTGATACCTCATCGGAATCTGCCTCGTATGCATTTCAATAATCATGTGTTGTTGACCTAAATGTACAAAACATTAAAATTATCTTATTCCCCTATTCCCAGAATATCATACAGCTGACCAATCTGTTGAACAAAGTTTTGCCCTTTTTGCAGCAATAGATTATAATGCCAACAATGTCATTCTCAATGGTTTCAGAAGATTAAATCCTATTGCACAGATTACATACCACCTATAAAACATGAAAACACATGATCAACCTGTTAAATCACATTTAAACACGAGTGCAAGAAATTTGATACTTTTCACTGCAAATAAGAGGTTAACGTGGAACTATCCCTCACTTCTTCAAGGTTCTCAACTGTGTTGATAATAGCTTCGATCTTGTTTTGCTGCAATACATAGGAAGCATTACTTTTGAATTTGTCGAGTAGTGCTTCTTTAGACAGTGGGTTTCTCCAGTGTCCATAGAAGGTGTCACATCTTCCCCTGAGCACATCTCTATTCCTCAGGAGGAGAACTACTTCTCCGTACATCTTCTCAAAACTGGCCACATTATCTTCAGGATGTTGAAGCTCCACTTTGTTAAGTAACTCATTGAGACTATCTCGTTGGAGTTTATTTTCACTGAATGATTCAATGTTCACTTCACCATCCAACAATGCAGAGCAGGCATTAAACTGGAAGGAATGGCGGGCCTCATGTTCTGTTTCTGGGAATGGTCTGTTGATGTAACGGGAAACAGGGATACGCAGAATTATTCTGTCAATCATAGAGGGTGAAAAGGCACCATCATTAGCAGTTGCCAACTGCCTAACTGAGACAGCAGCATCTACTATCCAGTGCATACCCAGATGAGCAGGGAAGCGCTTAAATGCAATATCTTGGTCCTCAAGCAGAAATCGTGTCTGTTCAAGTGGAGCAATCTTCTGAGGTTCGTAGTCACCATAAAAAGCGGAAAATCCAAAGCAGCCAAGTGTCTTGTCGAGAATTTTCACATTTCCTTCCATTCCTTTAGAAGCAAGAAGAGCTGCCTCAAAGCCCAGCCGTGTGGCATTGCCAATATGGATGGGTTTTGCCTGAGTGGCTGCATTGGCCATTGGTGCCCCTGAGAGTGAAGCTGCAATAGCCAGGGCATTAACACATTGATTGGCATTAAGTGAAAGGAATTTGGCTATCGCTGCAGCACTGCCCATTGTCCCAACCACACTGGGAGGGTGAAATCTGTTAAATTAAAAAAAAAATTCAAGCACCTGACCCTTTTGTTTATTCATTATTTTACACAATTACACTTCAATTCAACTGAATTAACAGTTTCATTGCAATTAGTAGATCCATAATTGCTCTTTTATTAATCAGATCCTTCGCTTTCAAATGGCTTGACTGTCACCGAGTGGTCATTTACATAAGGCTTTCAATTAACTGCAAAAAATTACTGTTAATTTTTTTTTTAAAGTGTTGCATGCTACTATATTGCCTGAATTTGTGTAATAAATAGCAGTGTTACTATTAATAAGCAAATCGGATAGCAATTTCGAGCATCCCTTTATGAGACATTGAGCTGATCTAATTTGCTATGCGTACCCATGAACTTTGCTGCTCAGTATATTTTTCAGAGTCTCCACATTCAAACACATGATGTTCATGAAGTGTAGCAATTACCACTCGTTACCCACTAAATACATGAGAAAAAGTTAGGTTATGTCCATTTTAATTATTTTATGATTAAATGATTTTAGACAATGGAATAAACCTTAATTACTATGAAATAAATTCTCTGGCCCTAAAAAAAACTTTTGCAGTGAAGAGTCTAATTTCTCCAAATATTAATTACTTTTTTAAAACTTTTATGAAATGCTTATTTCCCTCAATCGCACCTTACGTTCACGATCTTTATTTTTTGCCCTGTAAATAATTTTGCATCTAATTAAATGTTTTCATCTACACTTCTGGGTTTATACTTTTCTTATTCCAGGCGGAAGTTTTAAATTTGGTTGGTGAAGAAACTGTAATGTAAAATTTCTTGCACTATTCACACAAATCGCAGATCCCTGTAGGCGGTACCTTTCCGTTTACTGTCTCATGATCACTTCCTCTAATGCAGAAGCCTGTAAAAGAATGCTGGCAAGTTTAAGTTTGACGAACAGCAAACTGCACCCCCGCTGCAAAATCTGGCTTTCACATTAATGTTTGGAGTGTTGTACCAGTATCTCACCTCTTGGGGATGTTGTTCGCCTCTTGCGAGAAGTGCATTAACCTGCCCTGAACTTCAATGCCCACATTAAAAGCCAAGAGGAAGTCGAGTCCAGTGGGTTTGGAGTTTGTAGGTAACATTTGGGCAGCAGCCAGGAGGGCGGGAAGTACAGCTCCAGACGGGTGGGTGGCAGGGTGCCAGGTATCATCAAAATCCATTGAATGTGCCTAAGGGGTGAAGATGAGACAACATAGATTAAAGCTATGGAAACGTCAATAAGTGGCAGGCTCCGGTTTCATCATGAATATTTTTTCTGTTTATTGACTAGTTTGTGAAACCCAGAAAATCATTAGGTGCAAACATCTTACCGCGACTCCATTGGCGAAAGCGGCCAGAGTCGGCGAAAGTCTTAATCCTTTGCGTCCGTACACTGAGCTGACTGGGTCTTGAGCGTACATTTGCTGTTGGAAGGAAGCAAGGGGGACGGGTTAGAGAATAAAGGACCGCACTGTAAGGAAAAGCAGCTCAGACAGTGACTCCCATCAGTACAGAAAGCACGTTGTGTGTCTCCTGATGAGTAATCATCGGATGTGGACATTGGAGCTGTCAATCTCTTGTGCCTGAGCATCCCACCAAACTCACTTGAAATAAAAGGGAGAGTGTTGTAAAGTAGGACGCATTGCTGTCACCAGACTTAAACATGCTCGCAATCCGCTTAGAGCTAACCTGCAAACATTGGGAAGCAGCTTGCAGTGGTCAGCATTGAGATGGCTACTAGTTTAGTCTAAAGCGGCACTTTCGCTCCTTGACGGAATCTGGCCCAGATATTAATGATGGAATCGGAATACAATGTGGAGTGGCGCCCAGCGCGCCTGTGACTGTGAGGTTGTGTGTAAATTACCTGGCAGTAATTAAGACAAATATCAAACACCGGGCTGGTGCTGCCCAGGAGTCCGACTCCAATGTTGTCCAGGATCATGCGTTTGCTCCTCTGTAAAACCGTCTCCGAGAGATGATCAACTTCAACACCCGAGATAAATGAGCCAAAACTGCTCGTCACCGTCTCTTTCAAATCCGGCGCCTCGAAAGCTAACAGAGGGGTAAAAAAAAATAGTTATATAATTATACATATGACGATTTCATTTGTTTAAAGCATTGAACCGTCCGATTCAAACCGTTGTAGTTCCCACCGGAATGCATTCCATCAATCTGTATCAGAAAATAAAGCTCACTTTGCAATTAGAAATATCCCCGCTCCCACGAGCGCTCTCAAATGCTGAAGTTGAAAGGAAACAAAGTCTTTTGGATCTTAGCTTTCATGACACAATCCGAGATCTGTGCTGAAATTGACCCAATAACAAGCAGCAACTTGTGCCGCGCTGCAATGAATACATTTGGTTGAACCGTTAGTGCTATTATTGTATATTTGAACGGACTCTATCTCAAGTTTCTCAGTCTTTTGAGTTGAAGCAAACAGGTACACCGGGATGCAGTGCGCCTCTCCTCTTTAGCGCAGCTTATGGTACTGCACACCAGGCTGCGGAAAGGAGGCACACACGGGCAGACAACGAATAATCATTTCAGTTCCTTTTCAGACAGAAGCCAAGTATATTTACCTTCGCGAGAAATTTTATGGTACAGGCGTTTTCCAGTTGTTAAGCTGGGCTGAAATTTCTAAAGACGGAAGCAGAATAAATAAGTATTAGCAAAGAAATAATATATTTAAAATAACAAAAGCTTACAATTATAAATCAAAGTTTTTTTTTTGTTTCAACATTAACACAATAGCTACCAGCAGTTTGGAGAACATCCTGTCGCCTTTCTCTTTGTAGCTGCTCTTGCGTTCACAATGGGATAAATTTCACTAAGAGAATTAAGTCTAATTCTGCTCTCTTGGGCATTTATATAGCATCTTGGTGTTGCGAGTAAGCCGAAAGCGCACGTCACTCGTCAGCATACCCCTCCACCCCCAAACCCCACCGCCTCCTTGTCAAATTTTATTATCAAAGATTTGCATAACTAAGGATTGGACTTTCCATGATGTCGTCATTTCATCGGAAGAGGCTATGTTAGCATTTCCATTGCCCCTAAGTCCCAATTACATACAAGGAAGAGATTAAATCACTGTTCTGTAAAAGGTCTATTTTACTCTTTTTTTTCCTTTTTTTTATCAACCTGTTCAGTCACCTCCAGGGCAGGTGGGATAGAGACAGGGACATGTCCACCACCATCCTCTCTTTCTTTTTCCGTTGATGTAAATAGGTGGTGTACATAATGCGCTGGTGTTTCACAATCTTTTGTTTTGAATTTATCTAATTTCAATGCAATGCTTTATATTACTTAAACGCATCAAATGTATCAAAGCACAGCTTCTGTTTATAGCCCTTCACTGGAAAATTACTGAGTTTTTTTGACTGGAGGGGAGCAGTAGAGCTTTGGAAATATTGGGCAATCATCTATTATCAGTGTGTCAAGCCTCTCAGTTTTCCCACTGATTGACCAGTACACTTCCTCATTTAGGTGCATTGCTATCTCAAGCCTGAAGATTCCCACTAATTCTTTCTATGAGTAATGTGTGGAGTACATCTTGCTGATTACCTTCTTTCTCAAAGAGGATGCCACTGATAAATCTTGTGTTTACGTTTTGTGGGACCAGAAACAGCAGGAACATTTGGACTCATCTAAGACTATTGCAGGTCGCTTTGGCTACATGTTTGCAAGTCTCTCCAGCATCAGCAATTATCTCCCTTCTTACCCCCCATGCTGGCATTCAAAACAACCAACACTGCTGTGACCCAAAGGTACAGTTTGTTTTAGCATGCCCATTTTTTGATTGAAGTTCACTGTCACCTGGCAGATCCAAATGATGGTTCAACCACAGCGGTCTTTTTATTCCCTAAATGGCCCATCAGCAAACATCATTCACTCCTTGATCATCCAAAAATCCAAATCTACCACAAACAGATAGACTGAATACTCCTTAAATGGTGAGAGGTTGGGAAGTGCTGGTGCGCATACAGACCAGTCTGTCTTTAATCACTAGTAGCACACATGCAGGTGCAGCAAACAATGAGGAGTGTGATTAATATGTAGGCATTCATTATAAGGGCATTTAAGTACACGAGTAAAGATGTCTAGTTGTGAATGTACAGAGGCTTGGTGAGACTGCATCTGGAGTCTTTGCATGGTTTGGTCTCCTTATGTAAGGAAGGATGTATTACCATTTAGGGAGTATGACAGAGGTTGACCAGAATAATCACTGGGATGGCAGGATTGATTTATAAGGAGAAATTGAGGAAATTGAGTCCATACTCCTTACAATTTCAAAGATTGAAAAGTGATCAGAATTATTTGAAGTTATTTAAACTGAGATGGGAAGTTTTTTCATTCAGAAGGTGGTGTATCTCTGGAATTTTCTACCCAGGAGGACAAAAGAAATCATTGAGTATGTTCAAGACAGAAATTAATAGATTTGTAAACACTAATGACATAATCTGATATGGAGATTGTGCAAAACATTTCATTAAGGTAAGTTATTGACTATAACCTAACTGAATAGTGGAACAGGCTTGATGTGCCAAAGAGGCTCGTCCTGTTTTTATCTTTCTGTATTTCCATGTTCCTCCATGCAACATGTCAATAAGAAGCTCCTTTGCTTAACATTAACGTAACTCAATTTGCTAGTTTGATCAAACTGAAACCAAAGTCTTTTAGAGAAAATAATCGTATCACAGAGAAACAGGAAAAAAAAGGCTTCTTTTGACCCTACTCAGAGTCCTGATCACTGTTTGGTGACTTCATAAAGGTAATACCACCCAGGTTCAGATGGTGGCAGCAATGGTCTGATAAGGAAAGAGATTGGATGAGTGAATCCTGAGAAGGAATTCATTGTACCAACTACCTCACCTTAACACCCCTCACCAACCCTTGTTGTCCCAACAACCCTTTCCAGCCACAACTCCAGTCCTGGCCAATCAATTATCACTACATCACATCTTTTCTTAGGAGTAGCAAAAAAGACTGTCCTTGTTTACCTGATCTCATCTTTTTATTTTCTTGGTCAATAAAGCTATAGGAAGCAACTATTGTCTCTTTGTTAGTTTCTGGCAGAGACCATATATCAAATGCTGTGACTAATATTTGTCTCACAGGCACTCATGCAAACATTTGTGGTAAAAGGGATAGTTGTCCACTATAGATATGGAGAAGGGCAACACCAAATAGATACATTTTGTCCACTTTGAGTTCAGCTTCCCTATACACCTCATTTGCACTGAGCATCCTTAAGAAGAGGTCTGGCAAATGGTATAGATCACCAGGTGTAGGACGGTCAGTGGCAGGAAGGATGGTCTCAGTGGACCCACTTTCTGATGTTGCATCCTTTGATCAGGCATGTGCCTTTTGAACAAGGAGCCCACAAGCAGGCTGACCAGGTCAACCTTTTATGCACACCACGTATCAACAGGCCTACCCACTGGACTACTTATTTGCCTATTTGAGGGTCTCAATTGGTGGCACGGTAAAAAGCCGAAATTTGGGATTTTCTGTCCTGACTTAATTCTTGTAGAAGGGAGAGGTTGGTGGAGTTCAAGCATGCCACCATGCTTAATAGACTTCCCCAGTAGTTTGATGCTTGCTTTTCTGCATGATTATCATATTGGCAAATGACATATATCACACACCGTGACAAGTCACAAGTTTAATGCATATACTGTAATAAGATTCTCTAGACATGTCTTCTCCATTTTTATTCAATACACTGGTATACATTGCTTTTGAAGCCTGGAAGTTGACATACAATTGCTCTGAAGGAGTGCAAGAACTGAAAAAGATGTGAGTGTTTGTACACAATGCTTAATGGTAGCAAAATTAGTTAACAGTACTATTAATTAAGAACCAGGGATCCTGAGCTTGGTAAAGAGTGGCTTAGAGAAAAAATAAACAAGAAATGATGTGGAACCTATAGAAAATGCTAGATTGGGCATGGCTGGGGGATTCTGTCCAATTCTGGCTCACAATTTTGGAAGAACTAAAGGTTTTGAAGATGGTAGAGAAAACTACTAGAAATAGTTCCAGTGATGATTGGTTATGACTTAGTGAAAAGACTGCAGAAGTTAGATTAATCACTTTAGAGAAGATGAAAAGAACATTTGATAGAGCTGTTTGGAATCAGGAAGAATTTAGATGGAGAAGTTGAAGTGAAATTGATTCCAGTGGCTGAAGGTTTGATAACTATTAGACACTGGTTTAAAATGTTTGGCAAAAGAACCATGTAATATGTGATTAAAAGAGAAGTTCTTACATAACCAGTAGTTTGGATTTCAAAGATAGAGCTTAGTAGGGTTGTATATGTAAATTCAATGATTGTCTTCAAAATGGAATTGGTTAATTTCTTGGAGGTGAAAGACGGTAGGAATGGGGCTAACTGCACCATTCAGTGAAAGATCCAATGCAGACTTGGCAAAAGAATTGCTTTCTCCTATATTGGCTTTTTTTTCTGATTTTGTGAGTTTATTGTGATTCTACTGCAAACAATGAAGGCTGGTTTTCAGATTCATTTCAAATTTTTCTCAACAGTTTCCTGTTCTCATGATTGCCCCCATGACCCCACTTCAATTTGTGGTGCTCAGGTCCTGGAGTGGAACCCACAACATTCTGACTCAAAGACATCTCTACGAATTCACCCACGGCTAGCACCTATGAGGCTTAACTGTCATCTTCTTAAAAATCAATAATGATGTTGCCTCAGTTCAGTGATTTTTTATTTTCCTGTGCCTGCTTGCTAGAGTAATTTTAAAAAGAGATACTAGGTGTACAATTATTTACAGGAAATATTTCTTCAAAATGAATGAACTACAGCTTATACTGTGAGGGAATTTGGGAAAAATTCCATATTTAAAAAAGGCAAAATTCCAGGATAAGCCAGCCCGAATCTGGACAGCCCAGTAGAACAGTTGCATTTGGACCCCTGTAGGTCCTCATCACACTGTATTAATAAATGACACATGTTAGCAAAAAAACACACAGACTTGTTTTGCTTTCCTTCTTTGAGTTCAATATCTTTGTCACACCCTGCAAAGAATGACTGATAGAACTGGACAAAGAAATTGTGAAATAACCAGTTCATCTTGGCAGAATTATTTCCATCATGATTGCTTGTTGACACATTCTGTTCTCTTTCAGGACCCCATCCTTAGACTTTAAACTATTAACATTTTTGGCCTGACTGTTCTCTCTGATGTTGAGGTTGGTTGGCTCGCCGAGCTGTTTTGTTGTTCCGCAGACATTTCATTACCGTGCTGGGTAACATTCTCAGTGCAGCCTCTGATGAAGCATCAGTGTGTTTTCCTGCCAGGGAATAGATAGTAAGGGTGGAAACCATTCCCCATATTCATAAATTCACAGTAGGACCATTAAAGTATAGGATCATACAATGGCACAGAAGGATATCTTTCAGCTTATCAAGGCTGCACTGATACTTTTTTTGTGGAATAATCCAGTTAGTCCCACTTAGGCACCTCAAGCCTGCTCTGCCATTCAATATGATCATGGGTTGATCATCCAGTTCAGTTTAATAATCAGCCGACAGAATAATGAGAAGTTTTAGTCATGCACAGATCTTTTTCAAGATCTGCAATGTTATTATTCCCTCTCTCTTCAATGTACGAAGGCCAAAAGAGAAGGACAGGTTGGTGACATCATGCTAGAGATTGCAGAAATGGTGGAGGTTGATCTGTTGATAGCTGATGGGATTAAAGGGAAACCTATTGCAATTCTGAAAAGGAGGTTTAAGGCTGAAAGCAGGAAATGGAATGAACGCAGTTTTTCACTGAATGAACACCCTATTTTCTCACTTGGA